AAACAGATCTAAGACAGATTTATTTTCTTATACCTACTGTGCCAAACCGGACCTGCACTTTATTCGCATTCCTTCGCGGCCTTTGTTCTTCGGCAAAACTCGTCCTTTCGACTTTTTGCAAGCAAGCTTATCTATCGCCTTTGATGGAAAACCGCGGTCGACTGCTTATTTGCAAATTTTGTTTATCCAGCGACACGAGATTCCAACAGGAAGGTCGAAGTTCATCCAGTATAATTGTCAACAAGAGCGTAAAATCGTTATGCCTATAAGATGTTTTTTTCATCCTTAGTATAATTTATATTTATTTTATGTGCTATAGTAATTGTTTAGGTAGAAAATAATTTAATCGTAAATGTTTTATAGTTTTACATTTTACATAAATGACAAACAATATTTATTGAGGTTCACCTCATAAATATTGCGGTAGGTAATGTTAACTAATGCGCAATTCAGGTTCCACGAATATAATTATTCTTTACGCATGTAAACACACATGCTAACCTACAACATACATGCAAAATAATGCATTCGAGCTCACATTGATTGATTATAATTGCTGCAATAACACTTACGATATGAGAGAAATAACTTCATTGTAGCATGGTATAAAATTTACTCTCCAATGCGTGCCGTGCCATTTTGTTAAGTAGAAAAATAAAAACTTTGATTTATTCCGAATTGCATTATACATTTAACAGGAATAATATAAGGCCAAGCTGTAAAACTTATATTAGTTAACTATTGTTCATATAATACTTTTTATAAATTAAATAATTATAAACAAGATGTACTGTGTCTCCATCTATGAATGATTGCTACTATTCAATGCCTATGGCTTCATTATGTTCTTACCGAGAAAGCGCGACCTGTATTATCGCGGGGCTGTGCGAAATATGAAAGTATTACTACCACTAGATGAATTTAAATTTTAACTAAGTATAAAATAGCAAGAAGTCAAAAATTAAATGTCATATTTTAACTAGACCACAAATACCATATGAGTAAATAAAAAAGAGGATTTTATTCTATATCTTCTGTCGGCAGTAATATAGTTACTCTTCTTGTATAAAGTCAGTGTAGCCAGCAGCGGTAGAGTACGCCATCTGTAGATGGCGCTATTGTGGCAAACGCCACACTCGGAAACCACAGACAACAAAATGATTAAGGAAACTGTATAGGAAAACACGATTAGAGTGGCCACTAGTGTTTAATAGATGTCGCTGCACCATAATAGCCATATTAAAGCATTTTTTCATTTTTCCCGTATGGTTTTAGACAGAGACAGAGACAGTTCTTTTTTGTCTGTTGTCTCTGTTTTTGGTTTTAGATTTTAAGAAGTTTTTTACAATATTTCCTTGTTTACTTTCAAATGTATTTATGTCTGTGTTTTAAACATAATTAAGAATTTATAAGATAAACAATTTGTTTCTCATTCGAGAATAGCAACCACCTGTTTGTCATGACGTAATAAATTGATAAATAAATAACATAACCTTTAAATATGATTGTTAAATTTACTGACTTTCTCGTCAAACCTGAAACGTGTAACGTCAGCAGGAATCCATTTCCATTAGTTTCCAGATTGTTCAGAAGATTGCTTGACAAATAGTGAGTTTTTATTTTGATTTCCTGCTTTTAAACCTTCATATATGTGCAGTACTTAAAACAATGTGCAAACTTAGTGGCATGAATTTGTTGTTAATGTGTGGATAGTTTGAACGCATTAGTTTGGCATTATGTTTCCCTTTTGCATATTTATTAACAATATTAACCATTTTACGTTTTATTGTGATATCTACTTCAAAACTGTAAGTGCCTTTAATATGTATGTACCAGAAAGAATTAGCTTTTGTGTGTGCAATAATTTCTTGTGTATAGAGAAAATACCAATAGTAATATTAAATATCTTTTCCTTTATTTCAATATTTTCAATTTTTTATCATTTCAACACTGAAATAAAGGCTGCAACTATTCAGGTATTGAAATTTATAGTAGGTAGTATAGTGATGCATTTAAATCAAAACAGTAGATCCCTAATATTCTTTTCTAGCTACATTCTCTTTTCAATATTACTTCATAAATATAGCAATGATCAATGGTCTTTCAAGTTGAAAAGTCATTTTTGTAACATGTTTTTATTCTGAAGAATTTTTAAAAATATTTTAGGCACACGTCTTGTGTTATCTTTGTTTCAAAATAAAGTGTTATTACCGTAATGATACATACTCGTTATCAGAATAATGGAATAATATACTTAACTGATAAAATACCATTGATAGAATTAGAAGTCAATTACAGTTTTTTATCGTTATATTTTTGCCTCATATCTACAAGAGAAGTATGTACTATTTTTGTATTAGGAAGAAAAGTTGTTTATTATTAAATAACTTTTCTTTATAATTTTTTGATGAATTTTTAAAAATTAGACTACTTTTCTTTTGCTATATTTTTTTTGCCTGCCCTGTACGCTGTTTGACTTGGAGCCATTCTAAGTACATTTGTGATAGTTATCATGCATCAACTTTTGGCGATGTTCAAAATTTTGGTTTACAAATAACAAAAAATTTCCCCATTTGTTGTGCAATGTATGACATTAAAAACTTAGAAAGTATTTTAAAAAATTTGGAGAAACGTTGAAATGCTTTTTTAAAAACACATTAAAATTTTTACCAATAGTATTTTTTTAATTTTTTTGTTTTAATGTTTTTCAAAAATTTTTAAAACATTTAAATGTTTTTAAAGTTATTATTTCAAGCCTTGAGGAAAATTTTAAATACAGGGTGTGCCATTTAACACTCTCGCTGCCAATATCTCCGAAATGAAGAAATTTATTTTAGTTTAGGAAATTGGAGTTATTAGGTCCCTCGAATAGTTTCAAATTGTAGTTGGAACTGTTAGTTCAAATCTGTCTGTATAGATGGCGTGGCGATACTAAAAAATGTTTTGTTCCCTGGAACGTAGAAATACAGTCCATCTGAAAAATCGTTAAATTTTGAGTAATATAAAGATTTTCCAAATATTTACTTGTTTTCGAGATATGTCGATTTCATTATGCAATGTATGATGTAACAGGAAAATCTATTATTTTATTTAAATCACACCGATACCAAATATTCTTTTAAAATATTGTTATAATGGCTTTATTCACATCAAATACTAACTAACAAAGAATAAATTATAAAAAACAAATGATCAATTACAGAAAAAAAAAATTTACAATGGTAAATCTTATAAGGGGCAGAGACGAACCGTATTTTATCAAATGTTATTAAAAAATGCAGTCATAGGTGGCTTATGTCTTTTGATTAAAATAAAACATGACACATATTTGTTTTCCAATAATTACAGTTTGATCAGTTTGCATCTTTCAATTTAACTGTACTAGTTATACGATTTACCACTGTACAATTTTTTTTCTGTAGTTGATCATTTGTTTTTTCATAATTTATTGTTTGTTAGTTAGTATGTGGTGTGAATAAAGTCTTTATAACAATATTTTAAAAGAATATTTTATCTCGGTGTGATTTAGATGAAATAATATATTTTCCCATTATATCATACATTGCATATTGAAGTCGACATATCTCGAAAACAAGTAAATATAGGAAAAAACTTTATATTACAAGATTACGAAGAATTTAACGATCTTTCAGATGGACTTCATTTCCACGTTCCAGGGATCAAAAAAAATTTTTGTATTGCCATGCCATCTATACAGAAAGATTTGTACTAACAGTTTTAACTACAATTTGAAGCTGTTCGAGGGACATAACCCCAATTTCCCGAACTAAAATAAGTTTCTTCATTTCGGAGATATTGGCAGCAGGAGTGTTAAATGGCACACCCTGTAATCCTGTATATTGAAATATTGTCCTGTTGGGAAACAAAACTGTTATTTCTTTGCCCTACTATTGCCATTTAATTATATGTTTTTATTCAAATGATGTTTAATGTAGGCTTTTTAGGCCAGTCAAATTGTCGAAAATAACTCGTTTTTTTGCCAAAATTTAGTTCAGTAAAAAAAGGCACATAAAAATTAGGAAAAATTCCGTACAATTGAATGAACTTCAATGGCATCCAAAGTTCACAAAATAAAGCTTTTTAATTTAAAAAAAAATTAAACATTTTAGAAAAAAAATGTTTTAGGCAAAAGTTGTAGAACTTTTTATAACAAAAATTTTGAGCCCAGTCCGATGTCAGTTGATAAACAAATGTATTAGTTACTGCAAAAAAATGGCTAAAATTCGCATTTTNAAAGCTTTTTAATTTAAAAAAAAATTAAACATTTTAGAAAAAAAATGTTTTAGGCAAAAGTTGTAGAACTTTTTATAACAAAAATTTTGAGCCCAGTCCGATGTCAGTTGATAAACAAATGTATTAGTTACTGCAAAAAAATGGCTAAAATTCGCATTTTTTAAAATTCCTAATCCAAGGGTCGGCAACTGGGGGACCGCGGTTCAGGTCCGGACCACAGAAGGTAAAATACTGGACCGGCAAAAATCTTTTGAAAGTATAAATTACTCAAATAATTATTTAAAAACTGTTTTTTACGTTTAAGTGCCAATCTTATCATTTTTTCTAGTATTTTACAATTGTGTGAGTGTTTCGAGTTCTTAATTAGTAAGCAGATTAAATTTGAGTCCAATTAAAATAAAAAAATATGAATTTTTTTTTTGGACCTCATTAAAAATTTTCAAAAGTATCCGGACCCCATCTAAAATTACTTGCTGACCCCTGTTCTAATCTTTAAAATGACAGATTTTTTTTACGAAACTTTCAGAATATGTAGTCCTTGGCAAGTAGAATAAGGGCATTTTTGTAAAATTACAAAATATTTGATAGTTTTTACAAAAATTTAATTTTTTGAAAAAAAAGACATTTTATTCAATTTTGCGTGTCTTTGTTTACTGAACTAAAATTTGGCACGTTAAAATCTGATTTGATTGGACTATTTGTCTTGCTCACTTGTTAACATTGATCATGTTTTTTTTTTCTAACAGCTGATACGATATGCGTCAGTTGAAAGGAGGTAAGGTCAAGGAATCCGCGAAAGAGAAACGGCAGAGAAAAAAAGAGTTCGCAGAGACACAGAAGCAAGTGTACAAGATCGCAGTGCCGACAATAGTGGCCATTTTCCTTTTCATCGCCGCTTACGTGTACATCAAAACGAGGCCGAGGGGCTCCTACATCGACTGAATAAAAATAAAAAGAAATAATATTAAGTAATGTTGATTTTATACAAAATAAATGGTGTTTTTTAAAAACATACTTTGTATATTCACTCTTGTTAATATAAATACATATAAATTTCACGTTACATGAAAAATTACAAAACATATACAGGAATAGGAACGTACGAAAGCGTAGAAAGGCCACAAATTCGAAATTTTGAGTTACATTTGAGTAAAATTTTGTTTAAGTTCGGAAATGATTTTGCAGTTGAAATTTCGAGTTTTCTATACTTGACATTTTCAGTTTGATCTTGAAATTTCTAGTTTCAACTTAATATTTAATTGTTTATACTCCCAAACTATATCGCAGTTAAAATTTCGAGTTTTCGATACTTGAAATTTTCAGTTTGATTTTGAAATTTATAGTTTCAACTTGAAATGTCAAATTTGAACTTAAAGTTTTATGCTTAGACTCCAAAACGATGTCGAAATTGAAATTTTGAGTTCTCAAATTCAAAATTTCAAGCCAAAAATTGTAAACTTCGAATTCAAGTTTATTAGTCCAACCAAATTACACCGGGAAAAAAAAATTGTTACCTGGACTTTTATAAGTGGAAATAGTAAAGGGGCTTATAATAAACGAAAAAAAAATTAATGTGTGAACAGGGGCAGCGGAGGGTTGATTGGGGGGGTTGAAAAGTTATGAAAAATTGTATCATTGGGATTTCTGGCAAAAGTCGACGTCAAACAGAAAAATATCCGATACAGAAGTTGTAGATCATGTAAAAATCTACAACTTTTGTAGAGGCCATTTTTAACATAACCTCAAAATTTCCGAGAAAAATGCAAAATACAAGTTTTTTCTGATTTATCGTTTTTTATTTCTCATTTCCACAAAAATAATTTAATTTTGACGAAACTTGGAGAAAGTATACCTTTCTCTGTCTTAAATAACTTCAATTTTTTTTAGATAAAATCAAGAAGTTTCTGGATATTCATTTTTTTCGGACAAACACTTTTTTTTCAAAGAAAAATTCTACTTAAAAAAATCATGCAGAGTTCTGCCGGTAATCATTTTTTTCGTTTTGACATACTTTTTGGTGAAATAAAATAATCTGTAATAACAGTTCAAAAACATGCTCATAAATGCAAAAAAATGTAAGTAACAATGAATTTTTCAGTTATTGCTAATTTGTTTAAATTTAAAAAAAAAAAACAAAAACTGATTACACCATTCAATTCTACGGAAAAAAAACTCATTGTTTCACCCAAAACTTTATTTTTGTATGTATTGCTATAAACATCTAAGTCGAATTGCAAATGCACAAAAATTTTTTTTTAATTTAAACAAATCAATAATTACTGAAAAATTCATTGCTGTCATTTTTTACTTTTTTGCATTTTTGAGCATGTTTTTGAACTGATTACAGATTTTTTTATTTCACCAAAGAGTATGTCAAAACGAAAAAAATGATTGCCGGCGGAACTCAGTACGATGATTTTTTTAAATAGAATTTTTCTTTGAAAAAAAGTGTTTCAGACCGAAAAAATGAATATCTCAGAAACTTCTTGATTTTTTTTATCTTAAAAAATTTGAGGTTATTTAAGATAGAGAAAGGTATACTTCCACCAAGTTTCGTCAAAATTAAATTATTTTTGCGGAAATGAGAAATAAAAAACAAAAAATCAGAAAAAAACATGTTTTTCGCATTTTTCTCGGAAATTTTGAGGTTATGTTAAAAAATGACCTCTACAGAACTTGTAGATTTTTGCATGATCTACAGCTTTAGTATTGGATACTTTTTTGTTTGATGTCAACTTTGGCCAGAAATCGCAATGATACAATTTTTCATAACTTTTCAACTCCCCAAATCAACCCTCCGCCTCCCCTGCTCACGCATTTATTTTTTTTTTCGTTTATTATAAGCCCCTTTACCATTTCCACTTATAACACTCCAGGTAACAATTTTCTTTTTTTTTTCCTTCTAAATGAGTCATTTTGATCGGTATATATATATAGTTTTATGCCCAAACTGAAAATTTCTAGTTTAAAACCTGAAATTTATTTATACTTGAAATTTCTTTCAATTTTCAAACTCAAATTTTGTGCTTCAAAATCAAAATTTCATGTTCTAAACTTGAAAGTTCAAATTAGAAATTTCATGTATTGAAGTTGAAATTTCAAGTTTGAATTCATACTCGATATTTCTTGAATTAATCTCGAAATATCGTATTTACATCAAACACCAAATTTAAAGTTAAAATTTTCGTTAAAAGTCGAAAAGACGAAGCTTTGAGTCTGAATATAAAATATGAAATTTCATATTTGAAATAAAAATTTCGAATTTGAGAACAAATTTGGGAGTTCAAATTAAAAATTCAGGTTTCAAAATTAAAATTGATTACAAAATTTTGAATTTGAAGAACAAAGTTTCCAGCGAATTTATGCTCGAATTTTTATATGCAAACTCGAAATTTAAAATTTAAATTAAGAATTTTGTGTCTCAAAGTCAAAATATTTTACTTTCAACTCGAAATTACAAGTTTGAAATTAAAAAATCAAAAAATACACATTACATGTGGCATTTCTATGCTTTCGCAGGAACGTCCCTAACTCGTCTTCACTAGTTACACTCAAGTCCGTAAAAATGTAAAGTGGGTCCCTCGTTAATGCATCAAAATAGTCTCTCTATGTACATAATATACACTAAAGCTTATCACAGCAGGTTTGTTATGGCACCACCGAACCACACCAACACCATCGGCAGAAGATACTGTATGAGCGCCCTGGTGAGCGACATCGCGTGAATGTTCGCACTCGAGGAGACGCGCACCACCTCCGGAGCCTTGGTGCTTCCCGGTGAAGGAGACGTCGGTAAGGCGTTCTCCACTCCCTGGTTAAAATCAAGGTCCCTGCTTTGTTCCTCCTCTTCCTCCTCGCCCGTCTCAAAGTCACCGTCGCCCGATCCCGAACCACTGCCGGCCAGCGATTCTTCCGTGTCGTCCACCATTTCCACTTCTTGGCCCTGAAACGCCTTCCTTAATTTGTCCGTGAGGCCCTGCAGGGTGTACACCTGAGCGTTGAGGATGGGGGAATCCCCGATATTTGACTTTTGTAGGGATTTTTCGTAAGTACCGAGGGCCGTACCGTTCCAACACTGACTCGTGTCGTTCTTATTGCTGTGAAGGGACAGGTTGTTGCAGTACTGGTAGGGCAGGTTCAGCCAAAACTGTTTTGTGTCTTTTATTTTCTGGAAAAAATCAAATTTCATGTTATTCCCAATATTAAATGTAGTCCATGAGAAAATAATTGATAGTTGAACGACCTAAGAATTAGCAAGTCAATGTAGTATCTAGTATCGAAATGTCTCGTTGAATTACGAGGTGAGAATTTTATTATTTATTTCGGGTTTTGTGTATGAATGCTGATTTTTTTAAAATAAATAACAACTGTATTAAAAGAAAAAATTCGCCATCCATATATTTACCATAAACTGATTGTAACATGCATACGGATGACGATGATGAAAGGTCATTCAACTCTCGAGTATTTTTAGATGGGCTATACAAGAACAAAAAATTTAACAATAAACCCTCAAAAAGGATAGTAATGATGCTATTAATTTCACATATTTAAAGTTAAAATACTTTAAGACTGTAGATGTTTTTTTTCCTTAAACATGAAATTTTATGTATATTTTACATGCGCCTGAAAAAATGTGCCTTAAAAAAATTAAATTAATTATACAGGCTGTTTCAAATAAGAACCGACACAGATCAGGGGTATGAAGAGAAACCCAAAATATGGTGATTTAACTCAATTTACCTTTATACTAAGGTGCAAACCTTTGAGAAGTTATTATAGGCCTTGAAAAAATCAATATCTCGGTTATATTTGAACTTAGAAAAACCAAATTTGGTACATGGGAGTGTACCAAGGGCATTAATCGACAGTAAGTAGAGTTCACTAGAAGCATTTTAAAGGATTGATAAGGGACGATGCACCATTAAAATGTAACAGAATTTTTTAACCCGTTGGAGGACTTAAAAAATTATTACTTTATTTTATTGGGGAATTTAATTTTAAAACTCGTACTCTTGTTAGTTTTCAAAAAACTTCATTGTTATTCAACAATTGTTTTGAACAAAAACAGGAATAACTAATAATACATATTGTAGCTGCTATTTAAATTCATTGAAAATTCAAAAGTTGGCTATGAATTTAAATGTCAAACTTCAGGAAAAAAGTAATTTAATTTTAGTAATTAATTGTTCGCGGAGTATTTTGAAAAAGATTTTCATTTAGCGAACAAGTTGACATGCTATTCTATTACTGTTACGTTTCTGTGAATAAAACTGCAGAAGTGTGAAAAATATTGGAGATTTCCAAACTAGATCAGAGCAGATGTGTTTTGAGGTGGATGTGAGAGGGGGCAACCAAATTTTTTCTGGATTACCTTCAGTACAACTCACATAATAAAAATGTAGAGCCCTAAATCTGGGTGAGGTTTGGAACATTTTCAAAATTGCAAAAATGTTTAAAAATTTTTTAAAAATACCTCTTTTATCTGAATTTTTTACTTATATCTTGGATTTTGGAAGAATACTGAAGAGGAAAAAAAGTTTTAGAATTGAATTTTTAACATACAGTATGTATATATGTTAAAAATGTTTAAATTTATTACCGATGTTGCAATATAGCAATAATTGATGAAAAACGCTAAAATAATCAAGTTTTTTGGATAATTTTTTTAAAATATTTTAATTGCTCAGAGAGCATTCTAATTTTGGAGAAAAAACTCGAGCAGGGGTCGGCAAGTAATTTTAGGTGGAGTCCAGATACTTTATAAAATTTTTAGAAGTCCAGAAAAAACTCATATTCCTTACTAATTTTTTATTTTAATTTGCACACAAAATAATATGAAATACAATATGTAGATAGGCATATTTGTATTCAAAAATCAATGGAAGAAATTACATTTGCGGTATTGAGCCAGTTTTTTTTACTAACCTACTAACCATTAAATAATGATAAGGGTAGCACTCAAACGTTTTGTTATCTACAGAAAAATTTTTTTTTTAAATAATTTCAGTAATTATATTTTCAAAAAATTTTTGGCGGTCCATATTTTTACCTTCCGCGGTCCGGATCTGGACTGCGGTCTGCCAGTTGCCGATCGCTGCGCTAGAATATAATAAAACAACACACCAAATTTCATTAAAATCGAATCAATAGTTTTCGCACAATAATTTAAAAAAATTTTTTTCGAATTTTCAAAATGTTGCACAGCCTCAAATAAAGCATCTAGATACTTGAAAATTTTTTCACATAGAAAAGACCGCTCAACCTTTCAAATGGTTTTTGAAAAATTGAAATCGGTTGATTAGGACGGCCACAGTAAATTTTTAAAGTTAACACTCCTTTTTTTTTATTTTTAAATAATTAGATTACATTTATCAATTTGCAAGTTAGTTTTTTTCAAAAATTATAATTTTAAAGTACTATTTTTTCTTAATTTTATCTTCATTTAACAAAAAAATTAATTTTCAAATAATTTATTTTTTTAATTTGTTTAAACAAAAATTATTTAAATAATTGTAATACATATAACTAAATACATTCATATTCAGTGTTGAAATATATACGTAAACAAATTTTTTCATCGAAAAAATGCAATAGCATAGGGTAAAATACACAGTATATTTAATGCATACTTTGTTTATAAGAAAATATGTGCAAATAAGGCAGTTGGCATCACAATATTCGAATTCCTTGGCCCGCGAGACATCGGACTAAAAAAAATTCAAAATTGATCCCGTAGAAGCCGAGATAATGCAATTTTTTTCATACCTTCGTATTTTGATATCTTCGAATTAAGTCTCGGAGAGAAAGCCCCCCCTCACTTTTCGTGTTTTGAATTACTTTTCGCGCACGCGAGCGACAGCTTTTCCTCTGATTTATCCATGTTGCCAATAACTTATGGATATGAAAATTTTTCCAGCTTAAAACTCGGAAAAACGAAGCCACTGGATTAAAGATTATTGCTAAATTGTTTATAAATTAATGGTAAATGCCAATAAACTTTGACCGCTTATATCTGGAGAGCCAACAAATGGAATAATTTTTTTTTTTTAAAGAAGCGTCTTTCCGAGTACTTTAAAATTACAATTTTTGAAAAAACTAAATTGCAAATTGATAAATGCAATCTAATAGTTTAAAAATTAAAAAAAAAAAGAGTGTTAACATAAAATTTACTGTTGCTGTCCTAATCAACCGAATTGGATGAAATTTGGTGATGATTCTATGCACTAAGAAGTTTAATTGGGAAAAGTATGAAGATCCTAGGTATTATTCAAGTGACAAATAAACTAGCATTTTTTGCAATTTTTTAAATGATTTTTGCAATAACAATAATTATTTTTTCAAATTGAAACTAACTCTATCTTGTTCAAAAATTAATTACAACTGTTTTTCCTCTTCCATTTTTGTCTAAAAATGAATAGTTGCTAAGTTGTCGATGAGAAATCCAAGGAAAAAACGAATTTTTTTGCAATTTTTTTATACTTTTTTGCAATAACAATTAAGCCCGCGTTTTTTTTATTTGCATAGAAAAATTATCATTTCTGATGTGATTTAGCATCATATGAAAACAACTTAACGATGTGCATCTTGAAAATGACGACCTTGTATATTTTGAACACTGTGTATAAATAATTTATGTTGTACGAAGAAAGTCAAAGCAATATGAACCATTCAGAAGGAAAAAAAGGGGTAGGAGAGGTCAAAGTACTCCTTACTGGAAACACTTCCAGATAGGTGAAGAGAATCCAGCACCAAACTTAAACAAAAATGTTTACAAACAGGGCAATTGTAGACAAATTAATTGTGCCCTTGAATATATCAGCTATGCCATTTATCTCTGGTGTAATCGTTTACATAAAACCAGCAGTGTTTATGAAAATTGAAATTATAGTAACACTTATAGCCATCTGCCCCGGCCTTTATATAATAAACAAACCCCACATTTAAACAAAGCAATGGGTTGCTCCAATATATTTCCCCAAGATGAAAAGAACAGAAGGATACTGCTTGTCGATTTACTAATATTGTTTGGTTGTTTAATGAATGTTTAACTTGGGCTATTTTTGACAAATGGGACTTTTTATAGTGTGCTGAAAAAATCGGAAAATACGACTGTACATTGACGACCTGCGATTAAAAGTTAACATCATGGTATCAGGATATTAAAGGGTCCATCGAAAAAACTGTAGAATAATAAACCAATTATTGTCACAAATTTACATATTTTTAATTTCTAGTGTAACTCAATAACACCCGATTCTTTTATCTCATAGCACCAATTCGAAACTGTTGTATTATACAGAAAAATGCAAGAATTAAAGGATAATTTACTTATTTTATTTCGACCAACTGTAAATATAGACTAGGCGGTATCTGTTTTGGTTTGGGTGAAACGTATATCCACGGAGATTTTTGGCTTTTTGGCTTTCAAATATCACTAGGAATGAAAATTTTTCTATGCGCGTAAACAAAAACGAGGGCTTAACTTTTGGCTGCACAATATGTTAAAAAAATTGGAAAAATGTCATATTTTTCTTCCTATTTAATTGTGTATCTTTTCAAGAGTTGATTTTAGACGAAAATGGAAAAGGAAAAAAATGTTTATAATTAAATTTTACAAAATATTACTAGTTACAAATCGAATGAATCATGTTTATTATTGTAAAAATCGAAAAGATCACCAAAAATTGGGTTAGAAAACATTATTTTTTAGGGAATTTTTTTTGGTATAGGACCTTCATACTTGGCTCAAGAAAAGTTCATGTTATATAGAATCATCACACCAAATTTCATCAAAATCGGTTCTATAGATTTTGCATAATTTTGCAATCCAGATTTTGAAAAAAAATGTGCAAATTTTCAAAATTTTGCACAGCAAAATCCGAGGCCCTTAGATACTTGAAAATTTAATCACATATAGAAGGGCTCTCAAGCTTTCAAACGTTTTTTGAAAAATTCGAATCCGTCAATTAGGAGAGCTCTGGCGCTTGTTTAAACATTGGTCGAATTTTTGTACTTATAAACAATTAGAACTTTGTGAATATTCAATCAAATCAAATTTTTTAAAGCAGGTTTTAAAAGTT